GCCGTCTCGGGCCGGTGGCCCCCCACCCGCTGGCCATGGTTATCCTTGCTGAGACAGGCAGGATCTGCCTGCAGCGAGGCTCCCAGCAGGGAGCTGCATCCCACGGCATGAGACGAGGAGGCACTGGGAGCACTGAGGGCTTCGGTGGCTTCACGATGTCACCCCTGAGATTTCGACTTCCACTTTATGCTGCCTGGCAGGCACTTGTCCCCTGTCCTCCTCGCAGGAGAGGGAACCAAAGGGACCCCCTGTCCCCACAGACAGGAGGAGGGCGGTTGTTTTATACCCCACTCTGCTACCACTCATCTGCTGACTGAAGAGGTTTCATGGGACCTTCATGGCTTTCATTTCTTGATCCACAGGGTGTTTGTGACCAAGGGGAAAGGGCACATCTTCTCCTTCTCAGTTCTGAATGTGGCTGGGTCAGAAAACCTTCCTTCCTTTGATGCAACTCCTTCCTTGAGGGGTAGTCCTTGTGCTTTCCCCCCTCCCACCCTCAGCAGGAGGCACCTGCCTCCGCATCCCCTTCCAGCTCTGTGGGGAGACGTGCCCCTTCTCTCTGGTGACTTCCCTGCCCAATTTCAATAGCATGCTGACTTTATCAAGGCTGCACTGAGCATCCCCAGGGCGCAGGCAGCCTCCCTGGCAACATACCACGTGCCCACACACACACGTGCACGCTTACACTTGCACACGCACCACCCGGTCCAACCAGGGAAACCAGCAGAGCGCAGGACGAGGGGATTTGGATGGTTGGTCTCACTGGTTGCTACCAGTACGGGGTGGTGGCCAGAAGGATCTGCAGAAAAGCAGGGCAGCTGTGCCACGCTGTAGGCCACGGAGCGCGTGGGTGCCTTCAGCTGCAGGAGGTAGGCGATGGTGTGGACAATGCGCCCCACGCAGAAGATGAAGAAGTGGATCCTGGCCACTGCAGGACTGGGATCCAGCAAGGAGTAGACAGCTCCAAGGAAGAGGAAAGGAAAGATGTTCTCCATGTCGTTGCGGTGAGCCCTGAAAAGGGAGATAACGTTGCTCCTTCCCATCAGGCTTCCCTGCTATCTCCCATCCCTGCCATCTCCCATCCCTTCTATCCAGAGCACCCAGCTTAGGGTGCAGCTGTATCAGACAGGGTGGACGCAGCCCCCAAAGGAGTCAGTTCCCCCCTACAAACACAGGCAGCAGGATTTCACACCCGTCATCTCTCCCTTGGGATGCTGCGCTCCCAAAGCTTGCCCTCTGTGACTGGGACACCTTTGCCGCGATGGATGACAGCTCCAGCTTTTTAAATAAACAAGGCAAAACAAAGACCCTGTGAAGCTGCGAAAAGTTCCAAGCTGGTGTGGTGCCAGCACAGCACGGCCCCAGATGTGGCCACGTTACACAATGAGGTGGTTTCCAGACTGTGGTTTCTCCAGAGGAGAAACTCCTAGGGCGGGAGGGTTCGTGGCTTCACCCCTCTCCACAAGCACATCCAAAGGGGACCGGGGATGAGCACCCCAAGCATCCCCTGCATGCCCGCACTGTGCCAGCAGCACCTGCTTAGTGTAGTCAGGCTGGAGGGACTGCTGTGGGCATGTGGTGACACATTGGCACCGATAGGGCCAAACCCTGTGCTCCATCTGAACATGCCTGGGTGTCACAACACCACCTGCCACAACCCACACCACACCACTACCAAAACAGGCGCAGATTGTGCCGTGAGCGTACGCTGTGTCCCTCCTCCCTCAGGTACCATCCTATGAAGGAGGGAAACTGGTCCCCAAAGCAGTGAGGCTGTCCTCACCCTCCCACATCGCCTCTGCCTCTCCTTCCCTCATTCCCTTGTGATGAAAGAGCTGCTTTCTGCGGCACAGAGCCCCATCCTCGTGCTTCGATGGGAGGACTCTCATGTCATGCCCTGGTTGGTGGGGACAGGTCTGGCTGGAGAGTGAGCCAGGCACGAGGCTCAGTTGCCTCTTCTCTGTTATCTCTGAAGGTTTGAGAGGCAGAGATGAAGCCTTGGTAAGAGTTGCCCTTGCTTCCCCATTCCTGTGCCCTGGATGTTTGAATGTTCACAAAGCCAAGAGAAAACTTTAAGTGATTTCTTCCCTGAAGCAAAGGCCAAGGTGCCTGTGCTGCTTTTAGGTGTCTGGGAAGTTTTAGGATGCTCAGCCACAGCTTATTAGTGCAGACACAGGCTGGGATAGACCTGGCTAAAAACTGACTTTGGAAAAGAAAGAGGGCTGTGTTTTAAGCCCCATCTCCTGCCCGTTAGGTCAGGTCTACGGAGCAGGAGATGTCCCTGTGTCTGCCTTGGCAACAGCCACATCAAACACATCTATTTCCTCAGGCCAAGGTTTGTCAAAAGCTTCTCCATCAGAAATTTTCAACACCAAGTGCCCAGGTTTTATGGAGGGTGACTGCTCCCAGGCAGGATCAGTCTCTGAGCAACAGAGCAGGAGCTGCAGGGAAGGGTTCTGGTCACCCAGCTTGCCCCAACCTCCTCCCCTTCACTGTGATGCCCAGGGATGGGGATGTGAGCAGAGGCTCTGGGTCCAGCAGATAGTTCCCATCACCATCTCACATGCAATGACTTGTGTGCTGAACACCAGTCCCCACCAGCGTCCTTCGCTGCCCCCTTCCCACACCAGAGCCCAGGCCAGGCACCGGCTCAGCAGGGCAAGGGCACCTCTCAGCAGGGCAAGGGCACCTGCAGGTAAATATTGCACCTGAGCCATTTCCAGGCCTGGCTTTGCTGAAGCAAGAAGGGGATGTACAGTCTGTTGTACCCAGAAAGGAGCTACCCCAAGGGCTTTCAGCACCCCATTATCCCTATAACAGGCAGAAGAGCAAGGGGCTTTCTTCTCCCTGCTCTTTCCACCTCCAAGAGGAGCAGTCCATAGCCTAAGGGTCAGGTCCCCAAGCAAGAGGGGATGAACATGGCAAGGAGCTTGCTGGAAACCCTATTTCAGCTCTGGGCGTGATTTTGGGACAGCATGGAGGAACTGGCCTAGAAAAGACACTAAAACAAGTTCTGCTGTTGTAGCAGCGATGCCAGGAGGATGTGGTGGGGATGAGCTGATCAGAGCCTGGACATGGAGGAGACATATTCCTTGCCAAACCCAGGAATGTGAAGGGGAGCTGCAGGAAGCTCTCTGGTCCTCCTGGCCAGACAGTCCCTGGGCAGAGCCAGCCCCTTGCCAGACGTGAAGACAGTCTTGCCTGCTCACAGCCCCTTCCCAGCTCAGGGCCCTGCTCGCCTTCCCAAGCCAGTGTCACTTCTGCAGGTACCGCCACAAAACCCTCCCACAGCCCAGGAGGACCACGGTGATGAGCATGGTTTGCTTTGGTGTCAGCTGTGCCAGGAGAGGACAGCTGCTGGACACCCACTACCTCACCCCGCAGCAGCCCTGTCCAAACAAGCCCCCAAGGACTCGGAGGGTCAGCAGAGCTGGAATGCCAAACGGAAGAACAGGGAGGAGAAAGGAAAGAAAAGGCAAATTGTTGTTCCAGAGCCGAGACGCAGCCGGGGGCCTCTCTGAGAGGCGAGGGGAAACCTCCTTCCCACTGCCGCTTGCTCTCCCCTGCTCTGCTCCTGCCCTTCACAGACCCCAGCAGCCCGCCCATGGCCCTGCTCCCCCTCCAGATAACACCTGAGAATAAAACCTGACATCCCCCCTGTTCACGGGAAACACCTTGGGTTTGTCTTCTCCGGGGCAGTGAGCGGATCAGCAAGGACTGACCCTGAGGGCTTTAACTGCATGAGTCAGATCCCAGACTTCTCCAGGTCTTTACGGCAACTCTGGTTATTTATTTTTATGGAAGTTTATCTTTCTGACTAATCAAAAGAGGATTATTATTACTACTATTATTTTCTTTTTCCTAGCAAGGAACAGCTTGTTTCCCCTCCTGCTCCCTCTGGAAGCCCAGGGATTAGGTGGCACTGGATGTTTTTTAAAGCAAATCTCGCAGGCAGCAAGAGGTGAGCGGCATGGTCCCCCACCCATGGCAGAGCTGGTGGCCGAAGGCTCAGTGACAGCAGGGCCCAGCTTCAGCCCCTTTCCTGCACATCGCCAGTGTGTTGCACATCCAGCCCAACACTCGAGACACCTCCTGCTGGGTAAGGGGGACGGCAAACCAAGCCCAGGGCTGAATCACCCTGTGTTTTACCTCCAAGGAACTGTGAGCCCCACAGAAGAGGGGGAAGTTTCAGAGTTTGCCCAATTAGGGAGGCAGAAGTTATTGCAATCATGTCCAGACTCTTCCCAAATCCCCAAAATGAGCAGCTGTGTACAGCACTGGGACCAGTCACACAGTTCCCTGTCCAAGCTGTGCAGCGATCTGGAGGGATTCAGGGTCCTGTTGGAGCAGGGCACGAGGAGCCTTTGGTGTTGGTATGGGACAAGCCCTTGGGGCTTGTGGGACTTGGAGCATGTAGGAATGAGTTTATTTGTGTCAGTTGGCTGTTGGATTCAAACCTGGGCCCTTCCAGTGCCGTTGCTCCAGCGCACACCACGCTCCCCTTAAATATTAAGCTGCCCCAGTGTACGGGGTCCTGCAGCCGAGCTCCAGGCATTCAACCCATCTAAGTAATAACTTCATTAATGAGCTAAAGCTTCCCACTGCTGCTTCACCAGCAGCTGCCCGGGACCGCCCCGTGGTGCAGGGGGAACCGTAGCACCGCACCACCGCGTACTCACCTGCGGCACCGCTCCACGTCGGGGTCCTCGCGGTAGTACTGCAGCCCCCCGTTGCGTAGCGCATCCTCCGGGTTTGCAAACGCCTGCAAGAGAGAGTTCCCATAATGTATGTAGTCATAATGTTTTTGGGAATATTACAGGTAGAAGTTTTGCCCCCAGTTTTTAAGAGCAGGGGGATTTCTTTCTGCCCAAGGAGACCTTTCAGCCTGTTTCTCACCACCCTTCACAAATACAAGAGCAACTGCACTTCAGTGTGCACAGTCCTGGGGTCAAACCCTGCACCTCCTGACAGTTTTTCCTTGTCCTCTGGAAACCCCAGCCCTGTCCACCAAGCAGGTCCCAAACCGAGGGCTTCACAGGAGCTCTGGACTGATCCCATTCCACTTCTCCCCGTGAAACACATTTAAAGGAGACTTTGCCAACCACCAAATGAAATCACTGCTGGCACAGAGCTTGCAGACACTGAGTGCAGCATCCAAAAGATAACCGAGACTGACAGATTAGTTCACCCTACCGAGAAAGAATACTCCCTGGCTGGCTTTTTGGCAGTGATACTGTGTGACTGAAACCAGCCTCAGGGAAATCGGATCCTACACTAATAAACTTACAAATAAAAATGATTTATGAGCTCCCCACCTATGCTCAGAAGCTGTTCCTCTGGGAACTGGTTACACGCGACAGCTTCACTTTACAGCCTGGAAAGGACCCTGGTGCTTTCTTTAATCATGTTCCAAGCCCAGACTGTCCCAGAGCTGGAGCATCATATAGAAACACAAGGGGAGAAGCCAAATAATCTGTTACAATGATGCTACAACACAGGAATATCTCTTTGTGTTTTATCTGAGGGCAGAAATCTCTCCCTCCTGCTCCACTGATGTAGTTGAAAACTCCTCAAATACTTTAAAATAGATTTTACAGACAGCTGAGTTTTGCCACGAGTTCAATTTGGGTTGCGGGTGATAAAACCTGGGTTAACCCTGTCTCCCAATGGCAGCTAGAGCTCCTGGTCCTCCCTGTATTTCCCCCTGTGTCCAAGAACTGTTTCCTCCAGCTATTGTTTTATTCCTCATGACTTTCTGCTCTCCTGGAGCATTCACACAGCGATCCAGCCTCTGAAAGCACAAAAGCTTTCTGCTACACTGAAAGAAAAAAGATCGTTGCAATAATTTGTTCTTAAACCTTTTTTTTTTCCCTCTCCTTTTCTTCCAGACGTGGCAAATTAACTGTAAACAGTTTCTTTCCAGAAACATCTCACCTGCGTGGCATTTTAGATCTGAAATTACTATTTAGATTAGGATTCAGAAATTATAAACATCAAGCTACAGATGGTAGAAACAAACAAAAAGAGCAAAAGAGAAGTGAGATATTTATCTGCACAGCTATGAAACACATTTTGCTTTCATCTTAAGTCAAAGAAAACTCAGCTTGCTTCAGGAAAACTTTGTCGGCCTTTACAGGAATAAAAGAAGAAAGAAAAACACAGAAACCCAAAGAAAAAGCCAGAAAGGGAGAAAAAAGTAAAGGAAACTGGAACTTACCTTCTTTCTGAGTCTTACTTGTCCCGTAATGATGGCAACGACATACATTTTTAAAATCAAGATCGTGCTGTAGAACGTAAATGACATAAACACTGTGTTTTCCATCATCTGGGGGGAAGGTGCCACTCGGTCGCCTGCAGCACTCACAGCCAGTGGAGACCTTGCTTGGGCTTCCAGAGGGCTCTAGGGGAGAGGGGGCAGGAACAGCCACCTTTAAAGACAACAGAAGTCACTGCTGTTTCTTTGAGGAAAGCCCGAAGCCCCTGTAGACCCCTTTGGGCTGGACAGGAGTAAATGATGCAGCAGAGCTGTCGGTGAGCAGAGCCCAGACGGGTTCGCAGAGCAGGCTGCCCACGCTGCTCCCTGCCCCAGGCTGCTTCTCCCTGCCACCGCCAGCTCCGCGCGACGCCCCAAATAGGGATACAGCCCCCTCGAGCGTGTGGGCCACAGCAAGGCTCAGCCTGGCCACAGCTCGACCTCCTGCCTCCCTAAAACAGCTCACCACCATCCCTCCCCACCCAGTCCCACCTCCCCTGCTGTCTGTGCCCAGAGAGACGGAGCAGCCGGGCACTGCTCCCCCACGGGACATGAACCGATCGGCCCTGTGGAGAAGGAGGAATTAGGAAGAAGGTAGGCACCTACCTCAGCCGCATCCAGCCCTGTGCTCCTGCGCTCCCTCCGTCCCCGATCCCACAGCCACCCCTCCGTGGCAGCGCTCCCGGTCCTCCCCAGTCCCGCCCAGTGCCGGCTGAGCGCTCCCGCGGCGGAGGCTACCAGCCCTGCCCTGCACAGCCACCTGCCCAGGGACGGGGTACAGGGGACAGGGCCGTCCCTCACCCCCACCAGCGCCCATCACCCGGGAGCCTGGGCTGCTCCTGCGCCCCTGGCTGGGATGGGAGCTCCCGAGTGACCAGCCTGGAAGCACAACCAGGTGAGTCTCGGACCGCAAAGCTCCAAACCTGCGAGGAGAAGTAAATTGCAGCCTGGCCGGCCCCAGCGCCAGCTCATCCTGGTTTGCTCCGAGAGGGTGGATCAGGGGGGTCGGGGGTAATTTTATCCTCGGTCTAGAAAGTGGTGCTTGAATTCGGAGCTGGCTTTCACCAGCCGTCAGGCACCGGTGAAGAAAGAGTGGGATCTAAGGCTCTGCAGGCAGCTGGGCTGCTCTTTCCAGTGCAAACCTCTTAACTCCTTCTCCCCCAGCCCTGGCCCCAGTGCTGGTAGTAGCAAAGCTCCAGCGAGCCAGCAGCGCCAAGCAGATTGGAGCCCTCCGAGTTTATTAGTGTTGAGGGCTGGATTTGGGGTTTGGTTCCTTTACACAAAAAAAAAAAAAAAAAGACTTATTTCAGGCAAATAAGTTGAAGATTGAGTGGAAAATGAATGCTTTGAGGATGCGAGCAGTTTTTTTAATTTACTGACAAGCTGGAGTAAAAGAAATTGTTTCAAGTCACAAAAAAAGCCTCAAAAAACAATGAACAGAGTACAACAGCTTGTCATTTACAAAACCGTCTATTGAAGCATTAGTGCCTCTCAGACTGGTTTTGTTCTTCAGGGCTTTTTAACTTTTTACCTGCCCATTTTAGCAAAACTAACCCTGTCCTTTCCAAGAGGGTCCACAGTAACCCAGGAGAAGCATCGCACTCAGCCCAGGACCAGGCTCCGGTCCCGTCACTACAGACCGTGTCACACAAAGACAGGTTTGTCCCCAGCAATAGGACGCTGGTGGCACCCCGCTCCCTGGGGAAAATGGGCTACAGGAGCCTTTTTCCTGGGGTGCTGGTGTGAATTCAAGGCAGCCTCATGCCCTGGGCACAGCGGCCCTGGCCCAGTCAATTCACAAGTACCGTCGATGTGGGCATGAGTCAGGTTACATGGGCAGATCCGGAAGGTCGGCTCCTGGTTGGGTAGCAAGCCAAGAAGGAAAACAGTCACGTCTCCGTCTGGGCAGTGTTATCCTACCAGCCCCAACCCGTGTCCAAGGATGCCACAGGCCAGCCCCTGCCTCTGTCCCTGCAAAAGGAAGGGTTACACCATTTCTTGTATTCCCAGCAAACGGTCAGCGGGGAGTCACACCAGGGCAGCTTTCCTGCCAGGATCAGTGCTGCAGAAGAGGTTTTGCTCCTGCCACACTCAGCTCAGGTGTGAGTTGCGTGCTCCAGCCACCCCAGGCAAGGGCTGAGATTTTCCTGTGCCTGTCCAGAGCAGACTTCCTTCCTTCCACCCCAGTCTGCCTGGCTCCAGACCCCTGCACTGCTCCCAGCCAGGCAGGGCAGGGCTCAGAGCCAGAAAGACCCTTCAAGCACACGATCTCCCTCCTGGCATGGAGGTCTGCAAATTCTTTGCATCTGTCTCTGAATCTCCCTTGCTGTGACTGTTCTGCCCTGATGCTGCAAACCCAAAGATGCCGCACTGCTCATCGCAATGCACTGGCTCAGCCCCGGGACATCCAAGCGTGCGGAGAGCCTTTGAAGATCCCAAATGCTTGGTTTCAAGGGAGAGGTACTTGCAGCTGGTCATCACCACCCTGGCGTCAGGGCAGCTGCAGAATAAGTCCCAGCACAGCCCAGCGTGGAGCTCTGCAGCCCAGCAGTGAATGCTTCCCCAGGGAAGTCGGGCTGCCTCCCCAGGGGTGGGAATGGAGACACCAAGACATGCAGCAGCCACGTGGATTCAAACACTGCGGTAAGTGTTGGGGTGTTCATCCTGGACCCTAGTCCTGTGTTGCCACCAAACTGCATCCAACCCCACTCACATCTCCCTGGAGCTTGGCAGAGTATTAGAAATGTCATAATGCCAAGCATAAGCAGTTGACGGTAAAGCCACATCCCAAACACTGCTCCCTCCCATCTCCCCCCTCCACAGTTGATAGGGAGCAAACCCATAGTGGAGAAGACCTTGGTGCCCAAGGACTGGGGTGATGCAAGGGTCAGACCAGCCCTGCAGCAGGGATGAGACTTTCATCAGCAGCCCCTTCCCCAGCTCTCCCAGGAGCCAGGGGCTAGGGCAGGCAGTCAGACTCTTTGCCAACACATCACACCCTCCATGGAGCTGCTCCAGTTTTTACCAGCTGAGGATCCAGCCGCAGGCTCTTTGGCAGTGAGACCTTTTTCCTTCCTGCACTTTCTTTCCCTCCCGAGGCAGCCAGCACACCTCACTGAGCAGCAGAAATATGCGTAAGCTTGGTACCACCTGCAAACAAGCCAGGACTTCTCCTGCTAGCCAGCCTTTCTCCTCCTCAGCATTATTCAAGCACTGGCAGAAAGCCCTGGACAATTTGCACCAGCAACTGGCACAAATTTAAATTGAATGGAGCCATCAAGAAGCACAGTTTGTTTAGGCATAAGCCCCTGGGGTTGACCCAGGCGGGAGTGTTGTGTGTGGCAGGCAGACTACGTGGTGTGTAAAAACCATGTGGGCAAACAAAGTTGTTTTTCCCATGTGTTTATGCATTTCAGACCCTTTCACCATTACACAGAGCTGAACCCCAGTAGGGAGGGCCGGTGTCTGTCGGCACAGGACCTATGTGGATGGGGATGAGGGGCAGAAGCTGCCTGTAAAAGCAGGTGTAATGTTCTGGGGATGCTGGCTCCCACTTGATTCCTCAAGTTTTGGGGTCACACACGAGGTAGGACACATCCACAGTCGCACCCTCCTGGCTTTCCTGACCCAAAGCAACACAGCTGCTAGGAGCATGTTCAACCATCCGTTAATCCAGGCGGAAGCAGGCTGTTAATATTAATGGTTTGATCCTCCTCCACGGATCACATCCTGCTAGGACAGAGTCATTGCTTGAACTAGACCAGGTCCTAAGGGCAGTATGTCTTTAAACTACAAACTGTGTCTTAAAGCCTTTAGCACGAGAAGTCTCAAGACAGGACAAAACTTACTCAAAACCAACATCACTAGCAAAAATCACTGAATTTTATGAGAAATTATTAATAAGAATCAGGGTCAGGCTTTGAAAGATTTAGTCATCAGGTCAGGCTGACCCCAGGAGTTGCGGGGAAAAGATGGAGGGTTTTGCTGGGGGACGAGCTGAAGTGCAGCAGGCAGAGGAAGGAAAAATTCATGGAAGATGCTTGAGAAAAGTACTTGAAAAGAGAAGCCTCTGATAACAATCCTGCTTTGGAAAGATTACGGAATAAAAATCACCCTCAGTTCTCACACGAGCTGTTATTTATTTGACCAGCTGAATTACACTACAGTATTATAACTACATGTTTTTCCACTACTGCTATGCTGGGGAATTTCCTGGTGGCAGCTACACAAGAGGGTTGGTTGTGTAATAAACCCTTGTCAATGGAGCACAGGCATGTATGCCGGGGTGGCACGGCCTGGGCTCCAACCTGATCTCAAAGGGCAGCAGACGCTTTGGGCAATTATAGCTCAGATTCCCCAAAATTTTCCCAAACGAGCAATTACATCCCACAGCCGGGCCAGGCAAAGAGCCCAAGGGGACTGCTCCAGCCTGGAGGAGCCAGGCAGGCGGGTGGCACTTCTCCAGCGTGTTCCCACGTGCTGGTGGAGAAGGTGCAGAGCCCAGCTGGGATTTTACCTGCCGTGGGCCCACAGCTCAGCCCACGTCTCCGAGCAGCACTGAGCCACATTCCCGGCTTGTTCCGATGCTGCCTTGGGTGCCAGTGCCCTCCTTCCCTGTCGTTTCTTCCTGCTGCTTCCAGCACAAAGCCTCGGGGCTTGCAGACATGCCCTGCCCCAGCGATCCCTTGCCCTTGGCTGCACCCAGCCCTGGGAAATCCGGCTGCCCGTGGGAGATTGCGCTGCGCTGGCTCATCAAACACAGCCACGTTTTCAAGTAAAGGCATGAGCGGTTTAGCTCTTTACTGCAGAGGAAGGTGCTCCACCTGCGTTCACTGCTCAGCCTGCATGAAAAGTCACATCACCGTGACGCACCTTCTCCCTCGGATAAATGAAATCCCCTTGCTCCACCTGCAGCTCCCTGTCACCCAGCTCCTGGGCTCCTTGCTGCTCTTGGCAGCATGCAGGACAGCAGAAGACACAGCAAAGTTGCTCAGCAGTGAAAGCACCAGCAGGAGTATCTCCTGAAACAAACAGGATGCTTCCGTCTTTGGCAAACTCCGGCACATTTTGTC